CAACCAAAATAATGTCATCTGATTCTGATATATATTCCTGGCTTTGGGAGATACACAATGAAATATTTGCATAAATACAGTAACTCAAAGTTAGATGCATTAAGTAATAAATAATTATTAAGTAGTGATTTACTATTATCGTTATATTAATTAATGACATGGTGATAAGTTATTGGCATAGAGTAATTGTTTGGATACATTAAAGTTTATGCAAGAGACTTCCTTTAGACAAGAGGGGACAATGAAGGTTGGAGCTGCTATACATTGCTTCCAATTTCTCTTCAATCTCAATTGAACTTTGAGTTGAAGTGCGACATTCCGCGGACAACTCTTTGGAGTACAGTGTTTGAAAAAGTTTATCCTTTTCACAGGTAAGGGTAATTTCATATCAATTTTTGCTTGATTAAATATATAATTTGATTTCTGAAACGATTATTCATATTGTTTTTGATTCTTGAAAGCAATGTTATTAAAATCGGCTTGGTCATTCGCTTGGTCAAAGTACCATGTCACTGGATCATTAGTTGAACCGCATAATTCGGTGATTATATGTAAATCTATAATTTATATTAAAAAAATTATAAATATACTCAAATAGTTGAAAAAAATAATATAAATTATAAATATTTTAAAATAAAAAATAAAAAATTATATATTTTTGTCCAATAAATGATCAAACAAACATATAATGCTTGTGATATTGGTGTTTCAGGTTAGTAAATGACATCTCTAACGATAAATTAAATCAAAATTCTCTTAATAGTGCATAACTGAAATAATATTAGTATGAGAGGGGTTATATTGACAAACTTTTTTTTCTTACAAACTACACTTAGTCTGACTAGTTAGACTTCAATCAAGAATGTCTGACCCGTTAGGCTTAGTGTAGTTTGTAAGTTTGTAATAAAAAAAGTTTGAAAAATATAATTCTCCCCTGTTAGTGTTGTAAGTACGTAACTTATTTAAGTCAACAAGTAACAAATCACTCAAATATGTTAATTATGGTTTTTTTTTTCAAAAAACTTTTTTTTTTTGGAAATAATTTTTTTAAAACCTGGGCCAGGTCACCGATTTTCACCAAAATGGGTTGGGTTGCCCCGGGTCTGATACTTGGTCTATCCAATATGATAACTGGACTTCTCAGATCACCAGGTTCCGGGTCGACCCGACCGGTCTGAACCATTTTTTATAGGCCGGATGACCGATTCATTGGATTTCAGGTCCACCCGACCAGTCCGGTCCGATTTTTACAACATTGCTTGAAAGTTTCTGTTTATATAATTTAGTTTCCAAAAAAGCAAACTTTTTTATAAGTTGACAACATTGAAGACAAATTTTAATGGATAAAAACTTTTAAGAATCAAAATAGGGTTCGTTTTTTCTACAATTAATGTAAAATGACGTCGTTTTGAGACGAAAATTAAAGAATTTTTATCATTATAACTTATTTAAGGGTTATAATAATCTTTTTTATTATAATTTTTTATCTTTCAACTCAAAACAATGTCATTTTGAAAATAAATATAAATAATTTATCTACAATTATTGTACAAACATTAAAACCATCAAAATAACAGAAGTAATAGTTTTGAGTGCAAAACTTTTACGGTTAACGTACACTAAATCCCTCCAAATGATTTTGCAGAACTCTGGTCTCTATGTTCACAGACTTGTAAAAGTGGACAAGTGTCGTCGTCTCTACTCAAGTTTATTGAAAGCAATTTTTTCGTAAAAATGATTGAGACTTTGAAAATGCAAATAATAAAAGAATAATTATTGAAAATAATGATATTAAATACTATATATATATATATATATATATATATATATATTATGATAAAAATATTTATCATTTTAAAATATACAACTTTATGACATTTTTAAGTGAAATTACTGTAATTTTATGGAGGAAAAAAAAGATAAAAAGCTCACCAAAATACAATTGTTTCATTTTAAATGACACAAAATTATATTCTTTAAAATTATAACTAATTTTTTTCATATAATATATGACAAAAAAAATTTGTTCATATTTGGATAAAATTTGTTGCGCTTCTAAATGTTGCCACCAATAACTAAGAATACCGTTATCTTAAGAAATTTCTCAGGGGGTGTTTGGTTGAGGAAATTTTTTTGGAATAGTAGGAAAATGTAATAGATAGAGAAATGATTGGAAAGATAGATAAAGTGAGATAGATAGAAAAATGTAAAAAAAAGTTGTTTGGTGGGAAAAAACTTTACTGAGAAAATTAGGTAACTTTATGAAATCAACAGTGCATTAAGAGCCAGATAACCGGTTTTCCGAAAATCCCACCTTCAAATTGAGTTTCTAAACAGTGCGGATATCTATGTTTCTCATAAATCCAGACAAATTAGATAGATGGGTTTTAGTGAAAATACGTTGAAACAAACATGGTGTTTCTAAAAGCCATACTTCAGAAAGATAGATATTCGTTGAAAAGCTCCCAACCAAACACCACCTTAATGTGATATATTTTCACATTCTTATGTGATCAAACAAATTAAATATCGAATATGTGTTTTGTCCTTAGACTTTTACATGCATGTTCAATCCAATTTCCTCATAAAAATTATTATTTTTAGTCTTGAACAGCCCTGTTGATAATTTTCACGAGTATATAATTAAATTCTAATGCATAAATTAGTATAAAAATATTTATAAGAATATAAAAAATACCTAATTGTTTCAATTGTATATGAATATGTGAATCGATGTAGATTTTGAGCTAGGTTTGTATCCCTTGAAAGGTGAAATATGTCATTGTGTGGGTGCTCAAGGCAACAAAGGTATAGATCAAAACACCGAGAAAGTCACTGTAAGTACTATCTCAGACGAGGCTAAGAAAAGGGGAATATTAATGGGTACGATGGCTCTAGATTTTGGATAGCAACAACTCATGAATATAATGATTTTCACATACCTCCTCAAGGAGAGGGGAGAAGTTTATATACGTGAGAATCATAACTCCTAATGCCATGAGAGAGAAAAGTAGTCTTACCAATTTTGCTCACTCCTTTATTTCATTATCATGTATGATAGGTGAGCTGTGCAGGGGAATGAGAGATCCTAATGCTATTGCAAAAATACAGAAACTTATCTATTAGATCGTGAGGATCCTCTGCATGTTCTCCCCCAAAAAGTTATGCACATTCGATGTTGAGCAATTCTTCCTCCAAAACTAGTTGAATTTCAAATTGATCTGCCATGATATTGATAGTAGCTCATATAGAACAAAAAATTTTATTAGTGAAATTTAAAAATAAAATAAAATAAATGATCCAATCTATGATGTTATAGATACTAATAATGTTGATAATACTCAATTCCCGGCAATGGCGCCAAAAACTTGTTGCGATTATGGCAAGTATACCGATCGTACAAGTAATAAAGTGATAAGTAAGATATCGTTCCCGCGATGATTGATCTATCAAGCACTATTTTCACTACTCTACCAAAGTGGGTTCAACCGTTTTGATTTTTGAGAATATGATTAAGATATAAAAACTGAACCTAAAGCTAACAAATAATTAACAAGAACAAGATTCAAACTAAAAATAATAATAAAAACTAATAATGCAAATGTAGCTAGAGTGTCGATTTTTCCAATTTTATCCTAATGAATCTACCCTTTCTTGCAATCAATATTCAACTCATGTTATTGACAATTCTTTCAAAAATTAATTAAAACTCAATCCTTTGGTATTTTAATTCTTTATCCTAGTAAGAACCTTAATCCTTTATTGATCCCTCCTAGGGCAAGCATTAAGAATAAGAATTATAAAGTCATAAGATTCACAAGTCTATCCCTAGATCGAAAAATACCCAGCAATTAACTAATCAGAATCTTACAGGAACATCCCTATTCTCATTCAAGATTCATGTGTTCATCTATGAGTGATCAATTCATAAACAAAACTAAGAATGAAAAATATATTAATTGCATAACATAAAGATTGAATATCAAATTACAAGAAAAGAGTAAATATCATCAAGAATCAAAAGGTTTCATCTAACCCTAACTACAAGAAAACCTAACCTGACATAGTTAGAAAAACTAAGAAAAGAGATTAAAAACTAATGAAAAACAATAATGAACGTGATAAACGGTCTCCACGGTGAAGCTTTGACCATTCCTTCCACTCATCTACTTCAAAACAGAGCTTTTTCCTCCTCTAGGTCGTAGCTATCACGAACTGGTTTGCCTTCTTTATGTTCCTTCTTTTAAATAAAGGTCCATGGGCTTTTTTTGGCTCTTCTTGTTGATATGCTTGTTGTAGTGAGTATTTTTAGTGAGTTAAATTGACCATCTCGCTGGTTTGCTAACTATAGTGAGCAAACTATCAAGCAAGCTATAAAACAACTTTGACAACAAAAAATACGATTTCATATTTTGGGCATAACTTAAGCTATACTTGTTCAATTGATGTGATTTTGGTCTCGTTGGAAAGATATAAGAGAGATTTACAACTTTTATGCGGAATACGAGATCCAAATCCATCATATTGGATATTAAAAAATGGCTGGAAGACAGCATAGATTTTCACTAAATGGCTTCTCTTCATTTATCCATTTAATTCCTTCTAGCTTAACCCTTGCTGCAATGCTCCAATTCAAGTCAATTGTCTTACAAAACAAGAAAAAATTATTCAGATGAGTCAATAATTCAAAGTTCATGCCTTTTAGTCAAATAAATCTAAATTTTCATATTTTTAACTAGATATAAAAATGATTTTAGTACTTTAAAATATAATAAACTATGAGTTTATCAGCTGAAAAAAAGGGAATATAAATGGGCACGGTGGCTGTAGATTTTGGCATAGCAACAACTCATAAATATAATGATTTTCAAATGCCTCCTCAAGTAGAGAAGAAATGTATATATGTGAGAATCATATCCTAATACAACCATAGAGAAAAGTAGTTTTACCAATTTTGTCCACTCCTCACTATTGTCAATGAGAAATTGCTTTATTATCAT